CATCCAGCTCTTTTTCTGGGCGCGATATCTACAGGGCAAGTTTAACACGCCTGAAAAACACCGAGGCTTGACAGACTTTCCGATCACAAACATTGGGAGTTTTTCTCCTTCAGCGTTTACGGCGACCAACCCAGTTATGCGCTCTTTGCTGTGCTTTCCTCCAATGCATTTCTCACTTTTCAAGTGCAGCGATCTACTTGGCAAAGCTTTATAAAAAAGACCGAAGTCATCTGCATTGTAAATGTCTCGCAGTTCATAATTTGTAAGCAAAGTCGGAAAAGTTGTTTCTTGCTAAGATGCAGTCATATCTGCTGTGCATGATTTTGCTTCGCCCGAGACTGTTTTAAATGTAACACTGTGCCTATTCTACCAGCGGTCAAGCCAACCATTAGATGCTTTGAAATCTTCCATTCCCAGCTCTTCGGCATACTTTCTTGCTTTCTCTTTGAGTAAAGGGCCACCAACAGGTACGCCTTGATCTCTAACTCTGATGAACCACTTGTATAAGGCCTCATCCAAGTTATCACAAGTACTCGCTTTCAGCCGAAACTGAGTTCGATGACTCCCTCCTTCAAAGGCTTTTACAATCTTGTCCTTGTTCTTTAGCCATATTGAGATTGTATTCGGTGGTACTTTGAACTGAGCTGCAACATCTTTTTTGGCTTTACATTTCTCAAGCAATTTCAAAGCTTCATATTTTTGACGAACACTTTTATTAGAATATTTTCTGCGTCCGGAAGAAGCAGATTCTGCCATTTTCTAGAGCACAGAAATACATGCCAATTAGCACCTCGGTAAAAAGCCTAAATTGAAAAAGGATACCGACAAAGTGATCCACTTCCGCTAAAAGTGTGATTTAGCGTGTATTGTTTACTCATATCGCGTCCTTGTCATTAGATGCATGCACTCAACTGCTAGATACTGGCTTTGAATTTACTAAATCAAGCTCTGCTTAAATAATGGTTTGCCCAAGGAATGTTGCTTCGCTTCAGATTAACTCCTACATAAACTTGGGGATATCACGACTACCAGGAAATCTGGAAACCAACAGTAATAGGAAACAGTAATGGAAACCAACAATAATAATAATAATCGCTAGTTTGGAAGTGATTGGCAAATTCTATACACCTCTGAGGAGTTTAGGAGACAAAACTGTGAGTCGAGAGTTTAATTTCCAATCATTTATCCCTATTATTGACAAAGAGAAACTAATTCTTTCACCTTGGTGTCAGCAATATAGTGCCAGATGCAGATTAATAGAGATTGACCAGTGTCAGTTTAATTGGCTTTATTGCCTTTTTTCCAGAAGAATTATTTTTAATTCTGCCGAATCAGATTGGTCACTTGGCATTGCTAAATGTAGAAATACTTTTCCCTTTTATTGTCAGTAATACTCAAAGTAACCAAAATCCCAGTTTTTCTTCTTTTGTTTCCATGGCCCTATATCCTGCCATGTGTCTAACATGTTTAATGAAAAAATCTTCAAGCCTACTTCAGTGATAACTGAATTTTGTTTTATAAGGAGTAGACCATAAAAAATGGGATACTGATTCCTATTATCACGATATAAATATGCATGCTTTTTGCAAGTGCTGATTGGTTAGTTTGGAAGTGATTGGCAAATTCTATACACCTCTGAGGAGTTTAGGAGACAAAACTGTGAGTCGAGAGTTTAATTTCCAATCATTTATCCCTATTATTGACAAAGAGAAACTAATTCTTTCACCTTGGTGTCAGCAATATAGTGCCAGATGCAGATTAATAGAGATTGACCAGTGTCAGTTTAATTGGCTTTATTGCCTTTTTTCCAGAAGAATTATTTTTAATTCTGCCTAATCAGATTGGTCACTTGGCATTGCTAAATGTAGAAAACTTTGGACTTCATCTGAACATATCAGGGGATCTTTCAGCCACATTCAGAAATTGTCAGAAGGACTTCTGCAGTAAAGTTCAGAAGCTGCTGGATGATATTCCATTAGAAATTTAAAAAACTGAATATGGATATTCTAATCACAATCTCTTGACTTAACATAAAAAAAAAAGTTGTCAGGCACATTATATTCGATAACCCACCTCCAATAAATGTTTTTCCATTCAGTTCTTTTTCAAATGAAGTTAGATGTTTATCAAGTTCTTCCAGTACTTCAGGACTATCGCCTCTCAGCATCTTTTTATAATAAGCAGGAATCAACTAAAAAGAAAAATATAAATATGCTATTCATTCCCAATAACTAAATTAAAAGTTCTACCATCTGCCATATGTGTCATCTCCATTAGTCTTTCTTGGCTGTGTGATCCACTCATACTTAGTACCACTTAACATAAAATAGCTTTCATAAAGGTTAATCATACCTTGCTTCCCAGAACTTCAACCAGAATTCTCTGCTTGTGTTTTTCAACTAGATCTTTAGGAAATAATTGTTCCTTATCTGGATATAAATCCTCCAGAAATTCTAGGTAAACAAAATTTATAGAGTTAAAAGGCTCTCAAAAGAGTTCAGCTTAATAAAAAGTTAGAACTAAAAAGGACTTGCTCCTTAAACAATAGAGAGGATAAAAATGCCATACGCTGAGGCAGATCCAGGTGTGGTTCGGTCGAACCCCCTAAATTTTCCCTCAAAATGCTGGAAATCCTGTTTCCGAAGACCTAAGTTTTAGAATATCCCGGGGGAGCATGCCCTCGGACAATTCTCCGAACCCCCCTTGACTAAATCCTGGATCCGCCCCAGACGGATAATTACTTGACCTATCAGCTCATCTCTCTGAAAAGTTCCAAAAGTGTTATGAAGTGGCTAGAGTTTCTATGAGAGCTTTAAAGTTTCCTACAATTTTTCGGCAAACCAAATGTGGATCTCTTTTCAATCGGCTCTGCAATCATACCGGAAAGTGAGACGAGAATCGTGCTTCTTTTATCGTCTTTCTTGTCAAGTAAACAAGATTGCAACAACAACAACAACAACAAAACATTTTACCTACCGCAGCATATCGCAGATTCATAAAGAACCTTTCCATCAGGCAGCTCGATCACCGGAACAGCTCCAGCTGGATTCATTTCGAAGAACCATTCTGGTTTATCCATCAAATTGACGTTCACACATTCGTACTCGATTCCTTTTGCTGCTAACACAAGTCGCGTTCTCTGCGAAATAAAACTGGGATGAATACAATGCAAAACACAAGAAGCAATCAAAATGATGGCTTATTTAGGAAGCTTTCTAGAATGTGCCGAACGATAAAAAGAAAAACAAGCACTCAACAAGAAAATAAAAGCACGACGATGAGCTGCGCAGGTAAACAAGTGAATGAAACTGATGTAAAAGAAACATGCAAAGCAACTACGAGCTAAGATGCCTTCGACATGATGCACTTTACCTGTGCAAATGGGCAGAATCTCATACTGTAAAGGCGTAGGTGGTCGCCTTTCAGCGCCGGCTTTTCAGATCCGTTCGAAAAGTGAGCCATTTCTCCACGTAACAAGTCAAATAGAGCAGCAAAATCTAGCTACCCTGACATCTATATATGTTCCCCTGACACCTGGATGGAGCTATAAATTTTTTGCACTGTCATGCTGCTTCAACAGCCTTCATCTCGAGTCACGCTTATTCAGTTGAGTCACGCGGTATTATTAGATATAACTAAATATAATTTGAATATATCAACAAAGTTGAAATGGTAAATTGGCCACCGTTACGGTTATAAAAGCTGAAGTTTCGAGCGTTAGCCCTTCGTCGGAGCGAGCGAACTAAATATAGGCGGTTTGCAACCAATCTCTAGAGACACATGCAGGTAACAATGGTGAAATGAACAAATCCTGGTGGACGAACAGAAGGAGCTAATGAGATATCTATTGTTTACGTCCACCAACATGGCGTCGATGACGTAACGTGCAAACCACCCATAACTAACTAGATATAACTATTTATTGGAAGTAGTGTTTAAGCCTATTTTTAAAATTTTGGAAATATTTCTTATGCTACACGGTAATTTGTTCCAAATAATAGCCCCATGGATGCAAAATGAGTTTTTAAATTTCTGGGTCTTAGCAAAGGGCGGACGAACTGG